TTACAAAAAAAAATTTTATTAGCAAAAAAAAACACAATAATTACTTTATATTATATTAATCCTAATTCTTACTATTATATTATCGGGTTTCTAGTGGACAGGCGATTCAAGCTCTTTTACACCCTAAGCCTTTTCATTTTTGCTTAGTTACTGCCTTCTTCATGCCTGCCTTTTTTTGTTGCGGCCGTGGACCGACTTGTGCTTCCTGTACTGCATTCGCCCTATTCCTCACCTCTTTCTATAGGCTGCTGGAATAGTGACAGAGGGAAACCACAGAGAAAACCCATGCCAGTACAGTTCGGTTACTCATCTGTATTCATCTGTATAAATACAATTTCTCATAATGTTTAAAAATAATTCGCGAATGAAATTGTTAAAAATAATTACATTTTTTTTTATTTTTTACGGTGTTGAGCTAAGTGTCTTCTTAGTGCACTTAACTTCCTCATTAATTCATATTGGCGTTTTTCCAGCCCTACTTTTTGAGCTATTAAATTTCTCTCGGTTCGATGAATCTCCCTGCAATATTGACGTCCTTCACGTAAAGTAGAAATGACCGATGCGTTAACTTTATATTGAAGATTTGGTATTAAACATCTTAAATTATTAAGTGCATTATTCATGTCGATTCTCCTTTTTCGTTCCATTCTATTGTAAAGACTTCTTTTGTCAGTACCAGAGTCATCTTCAGAGTATATTGAAGCCGGCGATGAATATTTTTTTCTATTAATTGATGGAACAATATTTTTCCGTTTATTCATGGTTTGTTTTTGACACAATCTTGGCACAGCAGCACGTTTTTTATCGGATTTTGGTGGTCTTCCTCGTCGTCTTGGCGCAGGATAATCATTAACAGCAGCTTCTACTTTTGATTGCATAGGATCTTTTGTACTAAGAGAAATAAATATGCTCGCTGGTTCCTCGAACTGAACTACATCAATTTTTTCTTCAGAGCCAGATGGTGTTTGCACACTCAAACAATCGAATTTTTCGATAAGAGTGGGATGATTTTTGTAGTCATCGCGATCAATAAGGGTATTATTGACTTCTGTTGACTTTGAAACAGTGTTGTCGCTTCGGATATCAGCTGAGTGAACGAGATC